TCAACAAAAACGGCAATGGCTTAGTTGCCAACCCAATACATAGCACTTTCTAATGAGGCAGTGCTATGTACTAGAATGAACACGTGACCGAATTGCCGAGAAAATCGGCTATGACAAAATACTTCCATATACATAACTATTCACCAAGCCTATTGTTTAGGTTATAGGTTTTAAGAGGACTTACAAATATTTCGACTTTCAGTTAATGCGAAATAAACACACCTAAGCCGTAAATCTCACACCGTTTTATCCATGTGCAAATTATATCAAATCTGTGAAGTGCTTAAACCGGGAAAGACAACTGACTTCACACGGAGGCTTAAATCAAGCTTAGAGGCCACAAATATCAATAGGTAAGAGGACCTTAAAGGTACAACATGACCTTTATTATTAATCGAGCTCAAGTGAAATCCATCGATGACTTATTAACTCGCTTCATTGTTACTTATTAAGTTTAGATATTTTAATTAGCTCCAAACATATAAGAAAATCATAATAATGGTGAGCCAGGGTTCGTCAGATATCTATTAATTAATGGGCTTCAAATACCCACACCATAGCTTGTATGCGAGGGGCAACTTGACTCATTTAATGAAACAAATATTTTCATATTAGCGTCACAGAATTTCCCTGATTGGTCCGCCATTTTTACTTTAGATTCCCAGGTAAACGATAGCAAGCACGGGGCAAATCGCCAGTCCCAAGTATGAGAAAATATTACACTAGTCAAGTGAGTGTTTACGAAGGCCGCAGTTTGTTCTATTAAGTTACATACGAACGAGATCAGCTTATCTCAGGGAAGGAATGGTGCTCAATGCTTTTGCGGATTCTCTTGGCGACACTATCATAGCCTTACAAGGTCCTAGAATAGGTGAATAAGTTCGAGTTATCCTGGCCTACCATTATGGTAATTTGGAAAATATGGCCACTACCTTTAGTGACCACCTATGTTTTGGATACTCAACAAACCTGGAACTATATGAGGACGACGAAATTTGATGGTTGAGGTGACTGAGGATTATAATTTTTTACTTACCCACTTCTGGAAAAGAGGCATTTGTAACTGCTACATTAGTGCTTAACCAGGCAGCCAACCCATCCCAATATATAAAAAATGTTATTTTAATAAGTGACGAAGGGAAACCACCGTTTGAGTTATAATTCTTCCCTCTTCAAGACAACTCTTGCTTATAAAATTAAAGTTGGATGATATCAATGATAAAAAAAGTCTTAGAGACAGATTGAATTCGATTTTTCACTTTTCAAACACTAGACATGCCTACGAACCAAAAGAGCAGAGGTGCGAAACGCAAGTGTCCTGAAATGTTTAGAAAAACAGAACACCACTTGACCGGGTAAGTGAAGAGGGCAAAACACAGACAAGAGGGTAGAGTTTAAGCGATAACTAATTGAGATATTACGAAAGTGAGTTGATTTCCGATTGTTTGTTGCATTTACTCGCGAGGTTTACGTAGAGCCTCCTCCGGCCATTCAGTGTAGTTTGGGAGGGCTTCGTCGTAAGTCGGGACATACATTCGACTCTGGAGATAGGATTTCAGGTCCTCGGGTTTTGGCATGAAGTGAGCAACATTCTCATCGTAGGCGAATTCAGCCACTTTGTGAGCAATGCCCAGAGACACTGGACGAATCTGTGAGAGTGGTGGGAAAACACGACCCAGAGCCAAATCGCTCTCACTCACTTGCTCGGCCAAGGACTACAAAATACCAACATTGGTAATCAATTTAATGTGTATGGTAAAATAATAACCAAGTCTATTGTGAAATTCGCTACAAATAGCGTGAGAGTTCTAGGATGACGAAGGAACAGGACATCCTTTAAATCAAGAAATGCGATTGGGTAGTAACGAATATGGATTATACAAAAAATTTGAAACGCAAAGCAGTTTCAAACCGAAGGAAATAGTTATAGCCACAATTCCTCCAAATGATATTCAATAACGACCACAAATTCTAGTAGTTTAACAATTATATGTAGTTATAGCTTCATTTTTTGGGTTAAAATATTCAAGTTAAACCACCAATATGTAACCACTAGACTTCCACATCAGGGATTGAAGGAAATGCCCAATTACTTCATTAAATATTTCATCAGTCAATAAACTCCTCCCCTCAAGCCACAATAGCCAATTTTCAAATAGTTACTAGTTTTGCTCTGACATATAATCTTGTCGTTGAAATCCATCCAAGCCGATATGAAGAAAAAACGCTCAAAAAGGTAGCCAAAGGAATTACAACAAACAGAAATGACAGTATTAAGCACACAGACAATCTTTAATGTGGATTCCTACTTTGACTTAGTGACAAACAAATTCTAAAATTAAGTTATATTGCAACTAAAATAAACAACTCTAAATATTAGACAATGGTCTATTAAAATTTCCTGTGATAATTTAGCCTCAAATAAATTCCCACAAAATGGGATTAACACAAAATTTTTACACTTTATATCTCTTTATAAGACCAAATTCACATCGATGACCTCAAACCAAAACCCAAAGCCAACTTACAGCTGCAGCAATAGCAAAGCATTCATCAGGAATGGGACGGAGTTTGCAGGCGGTGATAGCAAGACCGACACCAGGGAAGATGTATGAGTTATTGCATTGACCGGGTTTGAACGTCTTGCGTTGACCACCAACATCCACAGTCACTTCACCAAATGGGGAACCGCTAGCGAACACACAAGCACCCTAAAAGCAAAACACATTCCTCAGGGCTGTCAACTTTGAAGTCAGAAGTAACCCATCATTCAGCAGTTCCCATAATCAGATCGAAAGTAATTTTGCTTATTAATACAATACAGTAATAAATTCGACTGACAGATGTGACATTGGAAGATATATTATTTATAATTAAATCCAGACATATCTTGAATACACATAAACCAAATCAGATAAGTATAATAGTGCACAACTAGGCCCGTTTTAGAGCTCAAAAGGGAAACCTAAAGGTTTCACCATCACTGCGTTATTTCTTCAAGACTATTCACTTAAAAATAGTTGCATCAAATGATGGTAATTGAAATTAAATTAAATAGTGATCGTTTGTCCATAATTGCAGAATTAAGTAAAGAAAGCCTACATAATCTATCAATAACGTCTAAAAACTGCTACACTCTCATGAAATCCACCTAACAACCAAATAAAGATGTTTAACATACGAAATGAAAAGTATCTACTTCAGAGCACTTGTCGAATTCTAGCGAACTGGGGAAATTAAAAAATAACTTAATCTGCCATAAGCTCACTTCTACATCGTCAATAAATATGAAAGGGTGTTGTAAGGCATGCAACAGGAGTGAAAGTAAAATCATTTAATTACACCAGTTGTACTGTAGGCAGCCTCGGCAGTACACTCAGCCTTATCAGTAGGATTGCTCAAAGCGAAGATGATGGGACGATCAATGTTCTTTTTCATCTGCTGAAGGATACGATGAGTAAAGAGACCACCAACACCAGAGGCTCCTGTTTAAAAATGAGCAGAATCACATTACAACAGTCGAGAAAGCGTCTCATATATTGCCAGTGATATATTTAGAATATGGAATAAGAACGTTACCGATAAGAGCAGTTGGTTTAATTTTCTTCACAATATCCTCAAGGTTCTTCATTGGTTCTAGGTCAGTGCGAGCGAAGGTGCCATTATGATCATCAATGTTACCCTCTGGACGTCCCTATAAAAGAAAAAGATGAGCATTTATTTCCAGTTGACAAGAACTTTATATGTACTAATAAAGCCCTGCTAGACCCAAAAACAAGAATTTTGACGAATTATTTCAATATAACAAAACATAAAATTCTGTGTGTTTCGATAGCACTGCAAAATTTAGAAAATTATTAGACGATATTTTAAAACAAGATCGAATTTATGCCAGAGACTAACTAATAATAAAGCCTAGTAATGCCGGTGTAAATTGAGGACCAAGTTACACCACCTAAAGATTTGTGAAATACAAGCTTGCGACCTTAGAGCAAATTTAATATCGGCAGACAAGTATGACTCACATGGACCAAAAGACCATCTTTATCGAACATATAGATTTTATTGATTGCCTCATCCTCAGGAATTCCTTGCATAACCATAGCGGTCTTCAGAAGATGAGCAATACCACTGGCGGCCTAAAATGTGAAAATGGAATGGAATACAATCGAGGGAGATTACAGTTAAATATTCACATCGGAGCCTACTTCACCAGCGCCAACGAAAAGATAGATGTCATCAGAAAGACGTCTACCAGTAAGTCGACCAGATGCAATTAAACCAGCGACAGTAACTGAAGCAGTACCTAGAAGAACAAGAGAAGTGCAAAAAAATAACTAGTACAAATTTTAGCGCCACAAAAGAACTTAAGTACTTACCTTGGATATCATCGTTGAAAGTACAGTAATCATTGCGGTAACGCTCCAAAATACGGAAAGCGTTTTGGTTACCAAAGTCCTCAAATTGGATCAGACAGTTTCTGCCATAGCTATAACGAGAAATAAATTAGATATTCTTCCAAACTAAAGAGAATTCTGCTATTTTGAAATATACCGTCTAACGACAGCTCGCATAAAGTTATCTAAGAGTTCATCATAACGAGCATCACGAATACGTTTGTGTGGAACACCCATATACAAAGGATCCTAAAAAGAGATTAGAGGCAACCAATAGTAATTCATATAAAACGGGTTTCTTTTGGGAAGATAAGGAACACACCTTAATCAAATCCTTATTGTCTGTACCAACATCGAGGACAATGGGCAGACAGTGCCTCGGGTTGACACCGGCCAAAGCGGAGTACAAAGAGAGCTTACCAACCGGGATACCCATTCCATAAGCACCCAAATCGCCGAGACCAAGGATTCGCTCACCATCAGTAACAACGATAGCCTACGAAATAGCGAAAGCGAAATCAAAGTTCTATTCATAACTAGATAAACGTACACAGGCCATACGGGATTAACACGAGAAGAGCAAAAAACAAAATGTTTCATTCTAGTGCTATTTAACTTACACGAACGATACTTTCGGGCCAGTTTTTTAGAATGTCATCAATATTGTAACGGTCGTGAATGGTGATGTAGAGACCTCTAAGATGAAAGAAAGATGGAAATAACACAATACTACGTAAAAAATTGAATTAATCAAAAGCCTATAAAGTAATTAAGAATTTTGTGACAAACCTAGGTCTGCGGAAAACGAGACCATATCTTTGACAAGCCAAACCCACAGTAGGAGTATAAATGAGAGGCATACAATATTCAGTATACTCTGTTACAACCTATACAAAAAATAAGAGAAAGAAAACCCAGCCAGTACAGATCATGCACATAACAACAAATATAACATCTTGACAAACTGTATAGCCTACCTTGTAGAAGAGGTTCTCATTACGATCTTGCAAGCCAATCAAGAACATGTAACGCTGAAGATTATCTTCAAGGCGTTGGAGATTTTTAATCATCTTTTTGACTTGAGAATCAAGATCAGATACAGCAGGAGGGAGGAGACCGTGAATACCAAGTAGTTGACGTTCGCGAATGGTGAAAGCAGTTCCCTAATAAAATAGACAATCAACTACCACAACTGAAACATTTCCCCATACAAAGGCAAACTTGAATAAAAAATACCTTATTCGTGGCTGGATTTCTAAGCACTCCGATTCCATAAGAATGAATTTCAGAGGCTAAGCACCTCTTTTGGAAAAACTGCACTAAGGGTCTACGCAGCATCACGGCGAAATACGAGTCAAAAGAGCAAACGTAATGAATTAAGCGCAAACAGTTGAATCTAACTATCGATAAATTCAGATAAACACCAAAAATATTTATGTTTTAAATGCGTATTTACTGAGCAAAATGAAAAAAATCACATGATTCTATTATTTCTATTTCTATTTTTTATGTTATTAACAATACAACACGAATTATTTTTAAAGACATTAAATTTAATGAAGCCACGAAGGCCAGTGTGCATGAAGATAGCTAATAATTTCTCAAACCACTATTTGTTATAGGGTATCATATGTTCGAGATTGGTTAAATCGATAATTGCAAAAATACTTTGATGAATAGAACTGACAATAATGCATCAACATTATTAAAGAAATTTATTTCCTTATTCATAAATGACGATATTTTTATACGGCTGTATTTCGTCATATGTGCTATCCGGTGAAAATGCATACTGGAATTATTTTAGTTGGTTTCGTCGAGTGATAGCCATTAAAAGCTCTTAACATTTTTATTAAATAAGCATTCATCAATAAAATTTAATTCACAAATTGTGCGCATGAAAACTTAAGAATTCTTTTCTTTCCCTATCATTTGATTCATTTTATACGAAAATTGGTATATTCTTGTTAATATTTTAATTGGTACTGGATGCTTGTAATCAAGTTAATATTTTGAAGCGTTCTACCGAAAACTAATCAACCTTCCAAGTGACATCTTTTTTCACCAACCAACCTCAAACCAATCTCCCTGTTAAATAGTTACCAAAGCCACTTTTTGACTAAAAGTAGAAGCTTCAGGTTCGAAAGTATAAATCAGGGAAAATTTGGACATTACTCAATGACCAGAAGATGTGCATATATATTTCTAATATTATAGGTAAACATAAAGTCATCATGCATATTTCAAAAATTGTTTTGCTTAAAATGGATACCCTCGAACAATGGAAAAAAGTTACAGCTGATTGAGGTTTGGTTTGTTTGCTATGGGTCTACTCAAAAGTGGTGTGTGCACTGGCGGATTTAATAATAACTAGGCATCTTAAGATAACTGAAGTACTGCTTCTGATTACGTTTTACCCAAATAATGCACAAATAACCGATTGCTTCTAATTCATCAGCTTAATAAAAGGTTATTGTTTAATAGATATTTATGTAAATTGATAGTGAATACGCTGAACGTGTACATATTAAAACTGAACTCTAGGACGACGCCAAAGTTAAACAACAAAAGAGCTAAATAAATTGACGAATATTTTCCTTTAAACTTGAAGATTCTTAACTGAATCGTCGACAAATGTCGCCTTTTTCTGTTTGCCTACTTTGACTCTCCGAACTTTAATGTTGACATTTTCCTTTGGGTGTTGATAGTTCAAATTATTTATTTCCAAAGTTTCTGCGGAAGATACTTGAACTGCTCGAGGTAATCGGTAATCCACATGTGGCGAAGACGAAGATGTTGCCAATGGCTTTGAACACTCGTCAACGAAGATCGGTGTTGTAGATGACTCCGTATTTGTGGAAGTCGGACGTTTGCGCTTCTGCTACGAGAAGAAAATAGAATTTTTGAGATGAATATATATTCTGATTTGGTTCACACTAATATTGATCAGGGGGGGGGTATTTATTCATTGAACAAGGTCATACAAAGCACAAAATACCTTTAAATGTTATTAAAGTTCAACACGAGTAAAAAATAATGAGCATTGAAATATCCACAGCGCCCTATTCTTGATATATGGATGGGATGCATTGGTCGGGTTGAGATAATTAACTTTCCTATTCAAGCAACTGGACAATTAGTACTCACACAGGAAACTCGTAATTTGTGCTCTTATAACAAGGCTAACGAATGAAGATTGCCATGAAGCCCTGACCTCTTTCTTGACTTCTGTTTAACTCCTAATGAACATATTGATGTCCCCATGTTTGGAACCTTTCACAAAATTTTAAGTTATATTTTACCTAAGCTTGAGCAATTATAATAAAAACAATCAAAGTTTCATAATTTTTTAGACTATTTCTCTTTAAGTGAAAATGCTGAATCAATATGTCTAATTATCTGTCGGAGCAATCATATCATAATTACGAAATAAAGCAATAGTCACCGACTTAGTATATTAAGAGCATTTTTTACAAAGCAATGGATCAATAGGCAAGAAAAATTTTGACTTTTAGAAGCTCATGCTTTTTCATTAGTTTAAATTATTTCTTATCAACTCAAATAGTTAATTGGTTTCATATTAAATCCACAAATAAAGATCGGTTGCACTTGCCCATTGCATCGAAGTTTACCAATTATTAAAAAATTTAAAGTCGTTCTACAAATTAAGAATTGTAATTTTAAAATTGAGAGATTACCTCAATTTTCTTTCTCCATCTGCGACTGGCCCTTTGAGCACATGCGATTCGCCGAGCTCGAATTCCCTTGCGCCGATTGCAAGCTATTTCAACAAGTAGTAGCACCAAACCAGCTAAAATTCCTACCGCAACCAGAATGAAAACTCCTGCCATGTTGGTTAATTCAAGGGTAGCTGCACTGTACTCGGTCTTGGCGCACTTTTCACTCTCTCCGGAATTGAAAATCCATTCAGTATCCAGTTGTTCCATGATGCCGCCTAAAAACAATCAAATAGAATTTCAATTTTGCATCAACTCTACTAATTCGAATATTAATTGGATAATTAAAAAATGGTGGTCTCATTTATTCCGCTCATTTTTGAATTTTATCAACTCATTCTGAACAACAACCATTTTTAAGTGCTGTACACATTGGCCTTAATTCAATTGGCATGGAGTTAGGAATTTAATGGTTTACAAACTCATTGATAGCGAACGATACAGCGAGCTTGAACATCATCGACAATCTTAAGAGTTTACTTTAAAATCTTTCGCATTCAATAATTTGAACATTTTTTGTAGTACTGTGACTCAACGGCCACTTTCCAGCCTTCTATGGCCGAAGATTAGTAAATACCTAAGGTTTACATTTCACCGAAAGCTCATTCAATGAGGAACCATGATAAAGGTCCAGAAAGTGTTTCGTGAAGTTAAATTAGGATATTGAAGAGAACATAATTTATCTAATTCAATTTTAATTAAAAAATGCGTTTACTTTTTTTATTAAAGACTACTTCTAGTATTAAGTTGAGATAATCTGAAATTCAAAGAATATCAATTCAGAATAGCAAAAATTATTGGAAACATATTTTCGAAGGCGACAACGATTAGTTGGCACTTGATAAGTTTTCATTTTTACGCAGTCCAAATTTTGTGTTAAATAGTTTGCCAAATTTCCTAATGGTACTCTTGCCTTCTTAGTAAACGCTTTCTTTATTAAAATATAATAACTTAATGATTCTACTTTCAAAATACCGAAGGAGAGACCGTACTCATTCTATTTCCAATGTACTTGACGAGAGTATACATCTTTTTCTTCGCATGATCTGAAAACTAAGGGAAGAGAACTACTCAGTGATTGACCAATGCTATTTTTAAATAGCCCGTAATGGTTATTTTCCAGAAGTGATCAGAGTTTAGCCTATTAGGCATTCGATTAGCATACTTATTAACCAATGTTTCAGTTCTAAATTTGGAATTTTAGAAGTGAATGCTCAGCGATATGCAAAGCCTCACCTGAACTTCCGTGTCGGTGCTTAAAGTTCATTCAGGATCGATATTCCATAGAATTTATCATCTTAATCGGCTCAACAGCGTTTTAAGAATCTTCCTATATCAGTTATTACTTCTTTGGTGATTGGAAACATACTTCGGTGCAATTTTGTAGTAATTAATTTAACCCAACTGTAAGTAAATTAATTAATTTTCAATTCAATATATAGAAGTATATAACAAGTTGAATAAATTCTCCAACAGAAAATATAACAATATTAGCCTGATGTAACTTAATTCAACAAAATATAATAAATTGACGATAATTTGTTTAAATTTATTCCTGCTATTGGAGACAGTGTATAAGTGTTAAATTGATTCCTTTTACAATTGAAGCTTACTTGATATTTTAGTTAGAAGGAAACTCAAAATTGTAAAATATGCGTTAAAGTACATGCACTTAACAAATAAATTTTGAGTTCACCACATTATCGTTTTGACCTTAAGAACGAGCTAGTACACAATTTTAGCTAATTTGACCTCTGAACTCACGTTCGTGAAAGCTGAGAACAGCTTGAGATAGTTCATAGATCCAGGGATTTCCTTTCTTCATTGCCAACCCATAGCCAGTGCGTCCAAACACTTCTCCAGTGGTTACCAAATCGCAATCCCTCGAGGCCTCGTAATTAAGACGGGCAGAATCCCAAATGAAAGCCTTCAGGGTTCCCTGTTTTACCGCCTAAATTAAACAAAATTAATATAATGATGAAATAAACAAAATTATTTACAAATCTTTAACAGTGTCAGTCAATTTCCACACTTTGAAACCTTACTCCAAAATGGCCATTTGGCATTTGTGTCAAGAATAAAAACTTGACCTATTATTCGATAGTTTCCAAAATAAGATCCTTAATAGTGTGGCTCGCATAAGCTTGGAATTAACTTTTAAAATATCGTACCTTTTCTATAGGTAAAATATTCGGGTAACCTTACATGACGGCCTCTTCTCACTTTTAGATAGGATACTGTCAACCATTTATTATAGTATTAAGAGCGTCATTATATCTATTGCTGGTTTGTGAGAGAGCCATTTAAGGTATCACAAGGCATATTCACCTTCCACTTGATGATTATTTAGCTACAAAGAACCTTTCAGGAGCTTCATCGTCTTTAACAAGCTACTTAGGCTCACATAGTCTATTAACCTAGCTAACCTCAGTAAGTTTTTTTCTCCCACTGCCTTCTATCTAGTTGACCTGGGGGTGTTCAAAACATTCAAAAACTCGAGTTTAATCATTTCTAAATAGACTATCTCAAAGCTCTGTGCCTATACCGCTTTGGATCTAATTTATTTGAAAATATTTATGCAAAACTTGAGCCCCAATGTTGCCTTTATCATAACTTCGATAAGTTTCCTGTATCTCTCAGTAATCTGGGCAAGACTGGTGCAGTATGAGTGAAGATTTCTATTCACTTGCATTTTCTTAATCCCTGGTTAAATAAGTACTTTAAATTTGTCTGACAGAGGAAGATAGAGGCGCAGTCTCTATCCTTTAAGCTAAAGAGCTGTTGAATTGCATCAAATAGCAAGATAAAAGGTTTATAGTTTTTTTGCAAATTTAATTAACTTTTGCTATTATTATTAATTACATTGATGGAATAATTAGAAGAACACTGTCACCTTATTTGTGTTACCTATTGTAAATCATAATCATCATGAAAATTGGACTATTTTCACGACTGTTAGAAGAAAAGGTGTACCGGAGCACCGAAGTCGACCATTGTGACCAAAAACCAGCCAACAGGCATTGAACATCGTAGAGATGTGTTAGTTGGAAACTAAGGGACGAAAGGCAAATTTTGAAATATATGAACTAGTCATTCAGTAAACATTCAATAATCAGGATCCAAAAATTAAGTGTGACTATTTAATACTTTGATATTACTCTTGTTGAAAAATCTTGAGATATTTTTGTTTCACTCTGGGCAATATTAATTGAAAAAGGTACCAAAGGTCGAAAATTGTCCCCTAGAGATATGCAAATTTAGTGGCGCAAGTGGTGTTAATCATCAAATGCAAATTAAAATGATTAATAATAATTGGTTCCGTTGAAATGAATACCTTTCTAACAAAAGTATGTTCAAGTATTTTAACATTTCAAGGTTTTTTATTGAGAATTGTACATTTTACTAGATTATTTCAGTGATTGGAAATATAATGTATTGATTTTTGGAATCTCAAAATAAAATTGCATTTACTTGAAGAGGTCAGTAGAATCACGAGTGGATTTTTAAGTTACTGCCTCAATTACTAAACGAATGCCAGACTTTTTCAGGTCTAAACACTGTGTGCCCATCTTAGACATGTCGCTAAATAGTTTAAAACTCCTTTCCCTTAGCTGCTAAGCAAAACCAAATTTTATTATAATAATTTTTTCTTAGCTTGATAAATTTAAATTAACAAATATGTATTATTAAAAACTCACAATAGACCAAAATAGCTCCGATGCGCAAATATATATGTACTCCCAATTTTTCGAGTCCACAGAATATTGATTGAAGGGTACAATTTATCCAGAAAGATATGAGGTGTTCATATCTGGCTGTTTCAAAGATTCACAACCATTTAAATATTAATATTTTGTCGAAAGCCCATAAGACAACTTAAGATTGGAAATATTTTACACACTTGAGTACCTATAATAAATGAGGCACTAATGGACTTGAAGTGCTACACTGTGGAAAAAATTAGATAAATTGAAAGGGGGAGGGGGAGGAGCATGTGAGGAATCATCGAATCCAGATTTTGGAACTTGAGCTGCCATTTAGCCAATTTGTTCAATTCAAGTCTAAAAATCAACCTTTGATACCTTGGCATTGCTCCCTCCCTTCCTCCCTCCCCCCTTAACCATTAGCTAGACCTACTGTCATTAGATGCCAGTTATTTCCAGCAAGTAAGATTTCTGGAAATCCTTGAATTACCGTGTTAATAATAATGGGATATAAAGCTAAATTTCACTTAGTTTCACTTTTCCCAGCGTTCTGCCCACCACGACCCATTTTCGGTTGTTGTTTTTCAGCGCGCATTGAAAGGATAGAAGAGAAATAGTCATTCAAAATCCAGCCTTTCACCAAATGCCATTTACAAAAGGAACCAATCACGCATTCACACCTGCTCTTTGGTTGAAAACAAACCGGCATATTTAAAAGGTTATCAAGTCAAAAGTTCCAGTGACATACTTTTGACCAACTTTGCGTCTTCAGAATTATACTCTAGAAGGGCAAATATGTCAACTTTCAGTGCAGAATTGGCATTTGTTAGGTGTACTTATCGATTTAAAAGAGCTTTTACTTAAATATATCAATTTGTTGACCTTAATATGCCTCAGACGATTTTATGGATTTTTTAAATATTTAGCTTCGAACTAGGTTTCTGAAAATATTGAACAAGAATTCTCATATACAATGGAAGTAGACCGTGGAAATAACAATATTTTTCCACAGACTTTTGTCTACCTGGATTCCTTCTTCGACCGAGTCTACATTACGACCCTCCATTGTTCGATACACTGTGTCCAACTCCATCTGATTTTTGAAATACATGTCAACTGAACTGCCCCGAACGGTTGCAAAGGTGAAGTCCTTCTGAGGATTCCGAAGCTGAAATACATTAAGCAATCAAAAATTAACTGAATCAGCATGGCAATATATTCAGCAACATCATCGTGATTAATAAATTTGATGTATAACCTCATTGAGGTCAAGTAAGAAGAAAATCATTTCCTCAGTGACCTTGAAGTAGCAGTGCACCAGTAGACTTTGGCCCCAACAAGTTTGCAAAGGTCAAATGGTTAATCGACTTCCTTCTAATCGTTTACATGAATATGTACCAATGACATTTCCAATAAAAACCGCAATCATCAAGTGAAATTTTGGAAATTTCATAAAATTATGATTTATTTAATATATAATTAGCGGATTCGCAATTTACAAAATGCAAATTACTCTTTCTTTGTAGTAACTAGAACACGTATTTGAGAAGCCATTCTTCTCAAATTGGCTTATATTGTACTCTTCTCTTCCTATCTTCACCAAACTTCCATGCTTGATTCTGAGGAAATTTTGTGAAATTCACGAATTTAAATTTAGATTACAGTTAAGAATCCTCTCATTGCTATTTAACATTACTATTTACCAAAACAGGGCCAAAATTAATCGATTTTTCATGGACTAAGCACGAAACAATGAGAAGGGATTGAGTAGAAGTATGAATTAATGCCAAGACCTCGAAAAGGTTACGAAAAGGTCTTTTAGAGTTTATTTCTTGATTATAACCCGCAAATTTATTTCTTCTAATGTATTACTGACCAAATTTCATGACTGGTCACTAATCTTCCAAGTGAAACCATATTCAGATCTCATCAACAATGTTATACACCTTATGGGAAAGAATTCTTCCTGCTTCAATGTAAAGTCATTTAAATGACCTGACCACTCGCAGTAATTAATCTTGGTTCAAAGAAGGACAAAGAATTACTAGTTGAACCCATCAAGCTCCGAATATCACAGAGAATGATATTTTATTGTTATTGAAGCCAATGCTAAATGTGAGGTACCAAGTAGCCATCTCTATAAAACCCCATTAGTCAATTTAATTTACATATTTGATGAAGTATGCTCAATCCAATGGTTGTTGAATCACTTAATTGCACATAAGGCCTTCTCGGGTTTCATTGACTTATGGAATTTTTGACTATTTTAGAGATCCATCGGGTTATGGTAATGATGCACTGCGGTTTTGAGATTAAAATGTGCAAAATACAATGGGAAATAGCTCGAATCCAATCACAACCAGAAAGCTTAAAATGTAAATTTTATCCCTCCCCCCCCCCGGTTAATTTCAAGGTTCCATTATACTCAATTCCACCCACTTGACAATCGCTCATCATTTGAAGTGAGCAACTACATTGGATAATCCTTTTCAAAGGGTGGATTGTACAATGTTAGTTGTTAGAAGCTCCACGTCTTCAGGTTCGCGTATTAAGTGCTAAGCACCCGTAAAACTTTAAAAAATTATCTTAAGTGGATATTTATACCACTCACAAGATTGCATTTTTTGATGAGTACATGTGTAGTATTATCAATGCATGTCTAAATTGATCTATTGGGTGAGAGTTTTACTAAGCTATTAGGCTCCTCGTATACAATCATTTATCAACTATTTTTTTAGACTTTCACGTGCATAAACTCAGTCATTCACATACAGCCGACTAATTTTACTATTTTCCAAATCTAAATGTCGAGATTCCTATCAAATTCTTTTTATAGTTGGAAGTTACGCACATGGCAGAGGAACTAAAATTTAGAATGTCTTCCGATGCTTGATTCTAAGAGCAAAACAAATTTTGAGGCTTTCTAAATGCTTAAGGGGGAATATTCTGGGCTGACAGGTGATTACATCAACTCGAACGCCTGGAAGCGAAACTATTGCGTAAAAGTCTTCGCTCTAGAACAACTGTTTTCATGCTTTTTAACGTAGGGGAAATTTAAAATTCCTCCGAAAATTTCAATCCTTGTATGTATTTGAGGGATGTTGCTTTAAACACATTCTATACTACCACTAAGAACTTGTTTTCAGACCATAATGGAATATTCTTGATTCCTCACCGAAGCGAGCATATTAAAACTCCGCTACAAATATCCACCAACTAACAGGGCTAATTAATAATTTTTTCAAGTGGTGGTTCTGCAGTAAAATATTATTTTATTATGATTCGGGGTATGCGATTGACTTACCTCTACGAGGTTCACCCAGGGCAACGTATACTCATATGGCAAAAAGTCTATTAACCACCAGGTGACTTCTGACCTCAAACTACCATGACCCCACCGTATGTCATAATCGCCTACTTCCACAGTACCCACATCACCTTTTTTCTACCTTTTCTACCTTCGTCATTGAAACACTCTTCTGTTCCCCCCCCCACTCTCGACTTTTTTCACTTTGATGTTCCTTCGCTCTGTGAAGCCTGAAGTCAACTAAAAGGCCAATGATAACCATTTGATATAATAATAATTTTATAATGATTCAATTGTGAAAGTGTCTTCTATTTTTTCCCCCAAAATAAGAACCAGCCTTTTGGAAATGTTCCGGAACTCTGAATCTATCCATAGTTCTTAGATTGTAATGGATAAATTGGAATGCCGAGTTGCATACATTTTTGAGCACTATGAAGAAACTCACAGCTTTGATTATCGATTACTTAGTTTCTACCCATGAACCTGAGTAAATAGACTTGCTCCTGCTACAAAAGAATGTAGTCATCAATGCTACAGTAGCTCAAACTCAGGAGAAAGGTCCAAGAAAGGTCACTTGTTCATACAATTTTGAATATGGAGAGCTTTATTCATTTCATGGCGGCAAGTGATTGCAGCAGTAGCGAGAGAGTACCTGTTCGGACAAAAGCGTGGAAACATTTTTTGTGATCGATTATTCAATGTGAAATGGATGAAGTCCATAAAGTGCGCCTGATCTTAACTATTTTGGTTACTTGCCATCCGTATAAAGTCGGTCAATGCAAATGGTATAAATTTTTATCAGTGCAAATTGACAAGTATATCGTCACGAAAATGTGCATTAAATAGATTATTTGCCTATGATGACATCTGTTTAATTAGATGAACCACTTATTGATTTAAATTCTCGATTTAAATAAAAATGCAATTTTCTGGCATTAAATACAATATTTGTCTTGAGGTGGTTTTACTTAAGTGTGCAAGTTGCGAACGAATAAAATTATCCAAAACTTTGACTTAAAAACACTAATATGTATTCTTTCAACTGGACCGAGTAGCGATTGAATGAAAATTCAGAAAACTATGTGTTAAACTCCTCTATTCTTTTGAAACCTACTCGTTAAACAACCTTTAAGTTAGCGGGGTCAATGATAACTTACTTTCCAAAAACTAACTCCATTATTTAAGCAAAACTGATCTATAGGCCTCAAGTTAACAGACAAACATCAAGATGATGCGAAAATAACCCCACCCAAGAATCTGGATTCATGATATTTCAAAAAGGGTAACCAAAAATGAACCATATTCCTTGTGATAAAGTAGACAACTGAATACCACCACACTTCAAACAAGACAAGATTTTTGTTGCTCTGATTTCAGTATCTATTACTTCATGATCATTTCTCCAATTCTGTCATTTATCGGACTTGAAATCAGGTGATAAATAGAAAAAAACGACTAACTGATGGACTGCATTAAGTGATCGCCTTAGTTCAATTGAGGAATATCAGACGTGGGGGGGGGGGAGTGTGAAAAGCTCCTCTTCAGTGAATTATTCTGCCGAAAAAAGTTAAAAAGAAACGCGGTGCTTTTATTTCCCTCGCCGAGTGGATTCAAATTCGGTCATGTGTAATAGCTGCGCTTTATAAACTTTGCATTTTGAATTTTATAACTTGAATTGCAAAAGGCACGAAAGCGTAAAATTGAACGCTTAGTCACAAAATTCAAATAATTGAATTACTTAGTTATTTTTATAACCCTATTTTATTTTCTATAAAAAAGGAAAAACTGAAGAAATCTTGCTTACAAAATACTTTTTTAATATTATCAATGCCGTTTCCAATTAACTGTTAGTGTTTTTTATTAAAAATATTCGTTTACTTCGGTGAATAGAAGAGGATTAAATTTTAATAATATAAGAAAACATATTAATAGCGTTAATTTTGTCGGTAAAGCTAATGGAAAATATTTTCGAACAAAAAATACTGACCCATTACCTTCAAAGAAAGTGAATTCCATTTAAATTGGTTGGTGATTTTTTCCCAATTCCATTAGCAAATCTTGGCCCACATCAATTCGTTTCTTGCGCAATTTTCTTATCGGAAGTACACTAAAATCCTAATCTTTCTCATCAAGATAAACAAGACGGGACTCATTCTTTTAATGAAATGTGCAGCTCCTTAATATTTATTTCTATTTTCGATTGCTTAAAACTAGCCATTTATTGTTCTCACCAAGGTTACTACTTAATCAGGGTGGCTTATATTGCACTCGGATGAGGAGAAAATTAAAATATTTCAATCAGGAAATGTAGAGTATTGTTGAGTTTCTAGATTGACTGATACCTCTAATTGTTTAAGGACTTCACACTTTTGTTATGCCTGAACGATTTCAACTCACGCATGGCGCATTTTAAGCCACCTGGGTAAATTTTACAATGTGTAGACATTTCCATTTCCAAGGACATATCAAAAGAAGAATTTTTATACAAGATTTAAACCGCAGTTTCAAAAATTCGAATTTTAACTGAATCGCCTGATATATGTGTTCTTCTTGTATTTCTAATATAAAAAATTGAAATGATTAATAATATAATTTGGAGGAAAATTTATTCACAATTATTCTGTAGAGGAAATTTTACATGCATTTTACGCGGAATTTTGGCATAAGCCGACATACTACCATCTGCAAGTGGTGGCTGATTTATTATCTTGCAATACTAAGAAATAGTTAAAGCGATATAGTCAATTCATTCAATTACACAAACGGGAGAGCTTCACTTGATTTATTATCTAATTGTTTCTTGTTTTAATTATCTCAGTGGTGAATGTAGGTAAAACAATTTTGCAAAAAGTGGTGCAGGATGAGAAAGGAAGAAAGAAAGATTACTACCAATAAAATGACAAACGGCTATGCCTTCAACAACTCACTTTGAACCAAACAAGTATATCGAACAGTCCACACCCAAAGGAGGAAATGATGCGCAATATTTATCTCTATCAAAAGTAATTTATTATCTACTTCTGACAGTTGTTAATATATAGTTAGAGTAGCGGTAAGCCAAGGCGTGGCGTAAAATTTTGTGTTGTGAATCCTCGCTTTTCGCTTCTGAGTAGGACAATAGGAACCATGAGTCATTTCGAGTTAGTTATTAACCTCCCCCCTCCCCCACACACACCCTCCTCTCTCACTTTTTATCCTGGAGAGTGGGCCTTTGTTTTTCCCTTCACCACCATTAAAAGAAGATTTCACTCAAACACAGGATTATAGTACAACAGTGTTTTCTAATTTTTTGCTCTCCATTGGTTGAGATGGAGAAAAACCGCCAAAGGATGGTGGAATAGCCTACGAGAGGGCTTGGTTGGTTTCATTTTTTTATGAGTGTTGAGATTGCTATCAACGCTTGAGTCATCCAACGTTAGAGGTATTTTGAGAGCTCTGAGAACGACGTTTTTCAGTGGGACACTTAACAAAATAATTAAATTCCTATCCAACTAGAGATAAAATCGTTCTGGCAACAAAGGAGGAAACATAAAATGTTATTGCTCATTGAGGGAACAAAATTTTTCGACATTGCCATTTCACTGCTTTCGGCTCAACAAAAAAACTTGCACTTGACTCATAATGTTTTAGCCAGCGTTAAGTAGTTATGTTGACGTGTCCTATCTCTAGATATGCAACTATGTTTGCCTCGATTCTTGCGATCAAATGACGACTTCATCACCTCGACATCGACACAAGATTTCGATTAGCATATATAATCTTTGTATTAGTGTAATCAAAGGCGATTTGCGAATTTGTGGTAAATAATACATGAAATATCCGCCTTCCAGAAGAAATTACTAATCAATAGCAAAATCACTCGAAATAATTTTGGATTTGAAAGCAAACAAGCTTATTGCTATTTCAGTTGAATCAAATCGAACTTCTTAGTTATGAAGTAAGTATCTGAGGGCGTGAAATGAATATTTTGTTTATGCTTATATAGTTAATCAACGTTCCAGGTCTTTGGAAGTGAAATTTACGCTCAATGGTGACTTATTGGTCATAAATTTGTAAACACGGGAGAGCCACTGTGATCGGACAAAAATTATGAAGCGTAATATCAACCTATTTTTTTTCATTTCCTGTATTACATATAGCCAATTGTTATGGAGTCACTTGGGACTTAAGTGTTTAGTTATCACTTTGTATCATTTAGAATAACTTTCCAATAATAAATAATGAGGTATTGAATTTCCCAAAAAGTGCTACGCCTAGAAGCTGCCACATATTTATATCAAATGGAAGGCATTTTGATAGTTTCATTAGCCCTTTAGGTGACATCAGGCCTCACAGAGAAATATCAAAGTGAAATAGTTCGATAGGGGGGGGGGGGGAACAAAAGAGTGTTTCAAAGATGTAAAAGAGACAGACACAAAGGTAGAAAAAAGCTGTGATGAGTACTGTGAAAGTAGTTGAATATGACATACAGTGGGGTCATGGTAGTTAGAAGCCAGAAGTCAACTGCCGGTTAATAGACTTACTGCCGTATGAGTATACGTTGCCCAGTGTGCACCATGTGGAGGTAAGTCTATCGCACACCCCAAGCTACCACATATGTGTAAACCAAAACGTATAGCCATATTTTTTAACCTATTAATCCAGTGAATACTAATTTATCAAGGAATACACATTTATATTAGCATTAAGAATGTTATATATTCATTCGTTGAACCGCATTCATCGAATCAAAAGAGAAAATCAATCGAAGTGTAGGTACCGCATGACGGTCTTTACTAGGATGTTGAGAAATTTGAATACTTGGAAGTGAGCAATCATAGAGAGCCTAAGTAGAGTTATAATTAACTTTTTTTAGAATTTCTGCACCAGAAATCGAATAT